TTTGCTGCGCAAGAGATGTCCTGGAAGGACACGGCTTTGGACCGTGACGCCTGGCAGGCGCACCGTTCTTCTTGGATCACGCACATCATGGGGCACAAGCAGAAAAAAGCCAAGTTTGGGAATATTTGAATGTATACGTCATATGCATCGATGTGGTTTAAATTGTCATTCTGTCAGGTGGTGCACTGCTTCTACTTCTACTTGTTGAAAATGTTCATCTGAGCAGAGCCTTTAGTGAAGTAGCGGTAGGAGTCTTGTGCTCACACAGGCCGCGTCCAGTCCAGTCCAGTCCAGGGCCAACCCGCGTCCCTCCAACCCGAGTCTTACGTCTCTTCGATCCAAACTGGCCCGGTTCGGTTTGCAGGAGGAGATGCTCGTGGAGGGGGGGCGCGTTCTCCTCGCACGCCGAGGAGACTTCACGGGGTCAGCAAATTCACGAGGGGGGCGATTTGGGAGGCGGAGTCTAGGCCTCCTTCTAGATGGGATCGGAGCACGTGGGGTCGGAGGATCGCGCCGCGTCGTCGATGCGGCTCGATGTGGGTTCCGATTTGCTTCACGCCGACGTCGGCGATGCACCGCCGACGTCGACGATACATCGCCCGTGCATCACCGATGCGTCGCCGATGCATCGCCGATGCATCGCCGATGCATCGCCGATGTATCGGCGATGCGCGGCGCGATCCTCCGACCCCATCTACTCCGACTTCATCTGGGACTAGGAGGCCTCTTTGGCGGCGGGGGAGCGGGGGGGCAGGTTAATTGTGGGGTGTAGGCGGGTTTCGGAGGCCACATCTGAGGGGTCTTGGTGTGTCTTTGTGTGTGCGTGCCGCTCATCTAGGTGATGCTCCCCCCAGATATGATGGCGCGCGGATGCTGTCTGGCCGACGAGCTCTCCCCCCATCTGTCTGTCCCTTTCTCTTTCCTTTTCTCTGGCGCACTCCCAACATGCGCGCATCATCTCACGTCCGAGATGCAATTTGGAACGTTTTTATCCCTCATGATGCATGGGAGGTCCGTCTTCAGCCGTTCGGTCATAGTTACGACTCTTCGCCCAAGACGACCAGTAGGTTTCTGCCTTCAGTACCGCCCCAGTCTGAGTCCGCCCGACAATGCCATACAACACTCGGAAGCGTCTGAGGCTCGAGGCTGGCGAGATCGTTGTGTCGGTTATCTCGCCTATCTTGTTTTTGGAGTTGAAGCAACAAGACAAATCTCCCTCTCTCTCTTTCTCTCCCTCCCTCTCTCTCTCTCTCTCTCCGAAAAGGGGGGCGTCTCGACGATTCGAGCAGACAGCAATCTCGACGATCTAGTGGTCGTTTTTGATGCATAGTTTTGCTTGCCGATCGGCGCGGACCCTCGCCCCCCATGAAGTAGATGTTGGCTATTTGCGGGTACCTGTTTCAGACAGGTGGAGTCTCCCCCATCGGACGCACAGTTGCAAACAGTCGCGTTAAGCAAAGGTCCAGATCTTGACTCCCCCCTTCCCCCCCTTCCGCCCAATGTCGACACGCCGAATAAAGGAATCGTTCACCTATTTGTTTGATATCCCTATTTCTCTCTCTCTCTCTGATGCCTGAAGGGAAGCGCCTTCTGCCGCCGGCCCCCCCTCGGGGCTGGTGAGCTTCCGTGGGTGTCTCGAGCTGGTAGTTCAGCATCGCGGATTTAGGTCGGACATGTCCCTGCACGAGGAATATTCAAGAATAGCAACGCAATCGTCAGGGGACGTTTTATCGTGTTTTAGTCAATGTTTGATTACGGTTTGACTATTCCGCATTTGTCCTGAAGTGCCAGGGTGCTTATTACTAGGGTTGATGTTCTGCTCTCTATTTGTGTGGGGGCTGGCTGCGCGGGCTTGTGTTGGAGGCAGCTGGGGCGATCGTGGACCCCCAAGGCCTTGTCCGAGGTGACGCCGAGGAGGTGTCTGGTCCGGTCTTTGCGCCAGTTCCTTGTTTGCAAGTGGAGAAGATTCGCGTGGTGTTTTTGGCGTTGCGTTCGTGCAGAATGGGCCCTGGATCCTCCATGGACGAAGCACGTTCCCAGCCAGTTTCTGGGAGGCCCGCGGCTGTCGGTGAAGGAGGTGGAGGACGAGGAAGCGGAGGACGAGGACGTGGAGGAGAAGGAGGAGGAGGAGGAGGAGGGGGAGGAGGAGGAGGAGGAGGAGGAGGAGGAGGATGAGGAGGAGGAGGAGGAAGAAGAGGACGACTCCACAGCGCGAGCAGTCTCGTTTTTTTTGTTTGTTTGGGAAGTTGCTTGGGGGCCTCTGTGAGGCCCCACGGTGTCCTCTCGGACTGTCCTAGGGCCCTCCTGGGGTCCTCCAGGAGCCCTGCTGGGGCTCTCCTGGAGCCTTCTCGGGCCGGAGGACGAGGACGAGGACGAGGACGAAAGGACGAGGACGAGAACGAGGAGGAGGAGGAGGAGGAGGAGGAGGAGGAGGAGGAAGCTGCCGTTCACCCTCCCTGAGCCAGTCCGCCCTTGCGCGCTCGCCGCCGTCGGCCCTGCTGCCCCCGTCCTCCTCCCCGTGCGCTCAACGGCACAGCCGGCCCGGAGCCCGAGCAGGCGGCGCGACTCGGGGCTCCCATTCGGGGTCGGGAGCCTCGAGACGGGGGTCAGTGCAAACGGGGGTCAGCCAGGGCGCCGGATCCTGCAGGATCCTGCGAAGGCCCCCTCTGGCTGACCCGGGTTAGGGAGCCGCTCGTGGCCGCGAGGCGGCCGCGCGTATTGGCTGACCCGGGTTTGCGAGGACCTGCGTTGCAGTTTTTTTTTTCTGCATTGCAGTTTTTGGTTTCCTGCTGACCCGGGTCTGGATTGACCCGGGTCAGAGGATCCCCGACGGGGGCGGCAGAGGGGGGGTGATGGTCAGGGGGGTGGACACCATGGCGCGGGCCACGAAATTTCCCCAGACGGCATGGCCCCCCCTTTGCTATTTCCTTGCTCCCTGGCGCCCCCCCCCCCTGGGGCCGCGCACATGCCGCCGGCCGTGAATTTGCCCCACCCTCTCCTGGACGCCCCCCTCGTGGCCGCCCCCGATCGACCGGACGGGGCTACAGAGCGTTCCGGAACGCTCTCAGAGCGTGCCGCAGCGTTCTGAAAAGGCCGCGGCGCCGAGACATTCTCCAGAGCCTCCGGATTGCAAAGATTCTCGATCTATCCGCGCCCGATGTCAGCCCCGTCCTGCCCTCGTCTTACTCAAGAGACAGGGGTCAGTGCAAGCGCGGGCCAGCCAGAGCGCCGGAGATTGTAGGATCTTGCAGAGCCAGGGGTTTAGTGACCCGGGCTTGCGTGCAGGATCCCGCAGGATCCCGCAGGATTTTGCAAGATCCTGCGCAGCCCGACTTATTCGAGGGTGCACTGACCTGGGCCAGTGCGTCCCTGAGCGACGTGGAGTCTCCTTCCCATCAGTTGGGAAGCTGCAAGCATGAGAGCAATCTCGGCCAATTTGAGGCCCCCGCGCGTCACGAGTCTAGCCGTCGGGGTGAGCTCAGGAGTCATCCGTTCGGGCCGTCTTGCTGGCATCTTGGTTTGTCTTGTGGGTATGTTACGCCGTGTTGTGGCCATCTTCGGCCGTTTCGGAGGCATCTTTCGCCATACAACAACCCGCATAGTATGGATGGGAAACCTTCCCAAGGGTACCTTCTATCCGTGCCTCGTCGGTCAATCCTTGGCCACTTTCGCTGGCCGCGCCCCGCTCGCACAGTGTCGGCATGACCCTCCAAGGCTCTTGCATCCTTACAGCCCACCCCGCATAGTACGGATTGGCAACCTCCCGACGGTACCCTTGCGTCCTTGCTCTTTCGGCCCATCCTTAGCGACTTCCGCTGGCCAGCCTCGTTCGAAAAGCGTTCGCGTATGCCTACAAGGCCCTTGCATCCTTACCGCGCATCCTTCTGATATGGGTTGACTGTGCCGCGCATGCTGATTATACAAGTTGATTGTAGTTCGCACAACGACTGCGCACTCACGGAGGTGAGCGAAGTCGCATTCGTGCGAACGTTTCTTCGCGTTTGCGCAGCTGCGGGCGGTCAAGCGTGCCCGTGTTTCGGTCTATCCTGGGCAACCTTGGGCCGTTCTGGGGCCACCCTTCGAGTAGTGGATCGACTACATAATCATCTTACCCCTCTATTTTTTTGCTGAATCGAATTTACGGAAAATACTTTAGGAATTCTCAGCAGATGTACGGACGTGTTTCGTATTCGTCGTATATTCGATGGGTGAATCATTTGTGGGGTACGTCAATTCTGTAGTCGATCCCCTACTCGAACCCTGGGCCGTCCTGGTCCATCTGCGTTCTTTCACAGCCTCTCTGGCCGAGCCGCGGCCGTCTTGGGGCGTCTTGGGGCTCTCTTGCATTGCCTTGAGCTTTCGAAGCCCCTTGCGGAGCCTCCTGAGCCCGTCTGCGTGCGAGGCCTCACGGGCTCTCCTTGCCATGTGGCGGCATCCACATGGGATATGGGAATCCTGGGGCAATCTAGAGCGGTCAGGAATGTGAGGGACCCCCACCCCTGGTGGCTCATCTGTCTGCCGCGGGAACACGAATCAAACAGCTCCAAGAAGACAGGACCGGAGAGACACGAGACGACAGATATACGACAACATCGTGGCAACACCACAACACTGCACCACACGACTTCACAGCTTGGCGCCCCCCAGGAGGCCGGCGGATTCGCTGGAATGTTATTGTTAGAACACCCAGGGTTTGCTAGCTAGGGATTGGTTTCCTCCCAAAACAACGAAAACCCTTTCAAAACCTTACCGATACCCTTCGAAAACCCTTCCAGAACCCTTTCCAGATGGTTTTCGGTGGTTTTCGGGAGGGTTTCGGCCGTTTTGAAACGAAACCAGTTCCTAGCGAACCCTGGGCTTTCTAATGTTCTTCCGCTGCCTCGCTGCCACTGGGCAAAAGGTTGAGCGACGGGTGCAGGGCAGTGTTGCGGATGCCGCTGAGTTCCCCCCCTTTCGTCCTTCCGTCTTTCCCCGTCCACCTCGACGACGCTCTGCGTCAGGCAGTGGGCGTCGTCCTCGTGGGCGCGGCCGCAGCTGCCGATTGCTGCCAGCCGGCCGCAAGGCCTTAGGGTGCCGCTCTTTCCCCCCAGTGGGAGAAACAATCAGCACCGATCCGCGATCGCGTCCGCCACCAGGGCCGCCCCCCCCGTTCACTTCACGATTCGCCTCCTCTCGAAGCCTCGGGTGAGGACCCCTGGCCCCCCCAACAAAAACACAGGCACCCTCCAATGGAATCTTCCTGGGCATTGGGGGGGTGGCGGAGGTTAAATCACCGCTGAGAGCCAGCGACTCTCTGCACCGCCGCCCCCCCCGAAGGTACACGCAGAGTTCTTCGGAGGGTGTCTGTGTATATATTTTCGTGGCGCAGGACCCCTGCCTCCGGACACTTCTCGCGGATCTATGGAGAACCGGCCTCCGTGCGACGTTTATGTCTCCGTCGTCGCTGCCGTCGCGCTGCGACGTGTCAGCCTCGCGATTCACCAGGCAGCTTCGGCCTCCGCGATCGGAGTGCGATGAGGGCGGTTTTTCTCGGCGGCATTGGGGACGCGACTTCTGTGTTGCAGCTGGTTCAGGCCCAGGCGTCAGCCAAGACCCAGAGTGTTGTGCCCAGTCGCGCGTTTACCGATATGTTGGCCGATCTCATGGCGTTTCTCTTTACCGGCGGATCGTTTATCAGCTCGGATTGGGGCGGGTCGAGGTGCGTGTTGGAGGGCTGATGTTTGTTTCGTCTCCAGCGGCTGCAAGACTCGACAATCGCCAACTTAAAACGGATCCTGGCTTGGCCAATCCGGGGCCCAGGACCGGTTTATATGCCTCCAGGCCTGGACAGGACGGCGTGCAAGTCGATTTCGGACCCAGGACTGGCTCCGTCAGGATCGGTGTGTGTGTGTGTGTGAGCATGGGCATGGCTGGCGCCCACCAATCAAAATCCAGTCGCACCATCCCGTCCCCGGACCGAGCCCTCCTCGGGTCCATCCAGGCTCGTTTTCCGAGCCGCACCCAGCCGTGGCGATGAAGGGGGCCGCTCGGTGGCCCAAGAACGAGGGGAAGATGCATGAGGAGGAGGAGGAGGTTCCTGAGGAGGAAAAGAAGGATGGCGTGGAGGCGAAGGAGGAAGAGGAGCAGGAGGAGGAGAAGGAGGAGGAGGAGGAGGAGGAGGAGGACGAGGAGGAGGATGCGTAATCGGAGCCCGCACAGTTTTCAAGCGACACCAATCTCCAGCAACATCACTTCCCCCTTACAACTCCCCGAGTGTCGAGACGACCCAGGAGACAGAGACGAGGATCGAAGAAGGAACAACTGCAAAAACAAAAACTTTGGCGCTCCGCGCCGATCACTTGGATCCGCGCTGGGCCCCCCTGGCGCCGCCTCTGGCGCCGCCCCTGGCGCGCACCGCGCGCCAGGGAGGCAAGTCCAGTGCAGATCCGAGAAATCCGCGCGGAGCGCCAACAGTTTATGTTTATGGCGTTTTTTCTTCCTCTAGAGTTAACTCGGACATGTCCCCCTTCAGGAGGAATATTCAAAAAGATCTCAAACAGACTCTGGGGACGAACTTGGACCAGTTATGCATATTTCTGAACACTTTTTGCTTACTTTTTGATTTTCCTTCAAAATCTGCCTGCAGGGGGACATGCCCGTCCCAACTCTGGAGGAAGAAGGAGGGAGGAGGAGGGAGGAGGAGGGAGGAGGAGGGAGGAGGAGGGAGGAGATGCTGCCTGAAACGCCAGACTGCCAGGAGGAGGCCACACGAGGAGGCCTGCGGCCTCGACCTCGGCGGCCTCGGCCGGCAGCGCGGTGCTTGGCTGCATCCCCTCGGGGGTGCGTGCTGCGGGCGCGCCTCGCCGCGCGGCCCCCCCCAGCGGGAGCCCCGTGGACTCAGAGGAGGAAAAGGTACCCATACCTCTATCCTCCCCTCGTTTTCCCCTTCTTGGGCCTCCTGGGCCTCCATCGTCGCCACCGCTGGCTTCGCCTCAAAATCCTGGTCAGAACGCACCCCAGGAGAGGTCTGGGGAGTAGCGGTATCGGTGACTTTTGGTTTCCCCATGGACGAGGCAGACCCCCGCGCCAGCCACTCGGGGAGGGTGCGCTGGGCGGTCCCGGAGGAGCCGAGCGGAAAGGAGCGCAGAGCGGCTTGGGCGGGTGGTAGTGAGGGGTGAGCCGAATAGGGGTGAAGACAAGAGCCTTGAAGGGCCCCTTGGGCGGAGACCCCCGCGCCGGCCACTCGGGCAGGGTGCGCTGGGCGGTCCCGGCGGGCCCAAGCGAGAAGGAGCGCAGGTCGATCGAAGAAGAGACATCCGCATAAACAAAAATTTCGGCGCCCGCACAGTTTTCAAGCGACACCAATCTCCAGCAACACCACTTCCCCCTTACAACTCCCCGATTGTCGAGACGACGCAGGAGACAGAGACGAGGATCGAAGAAGGAACAACTGCATAAGCAAAACCTTTGGCGCTCCGCGCGGATCACTTGGATCCGCGCTGGGCCCCCCCGGCGGCGCCTCTGGCGCCGCCCCCGGCGCGCTCCGCGCGCCGCTGCATCATCGTTGTATTGGCGATGCGGTGCGATCCTCCGGCCCCGTCTATTTCGACCCCATCTAAGTGGCCTCTGGCAAGGCGGCAAGGCGTCGGAGCCGTGTGCATCCTCTCAGGTCGCTGCTGCGCGTGCGCGGCTCGCTTGTGAAGGCCTGCTCCTGGGTTCGCCTTCGCTCCCGAGCGCCGTGCTCGACGTGTTCGGTGCCCGTGTATGCCGTCGATGGCGACCGGTGCCACGTCGCCAGCGGAGAAGGAGAGTGTGCATCTCGTGTGTTGCCGCCGGACTGGGCGCTTGCGTGTCGTGCGCCTGAGACAGTGGGAGCCCACACCAGTAAACCAAGGGCTCCCAGGAGGGCGCGAAGTTATTCGCGCTTCGCGCTTCGCCGTCCTCCTTCCTCCTCCCCCTCCTCCTCGTCCTCCTCTTCTCCCCCTTGGGGGGCGGCGCGAGAGCGCGAAGTTATTCGCGCTTCGCGCTTCGCGCAGCGCGAAGCGCGAACTTAGGAGCCCTTGTAAACAGCCTACTTGCCTCCAGGGTGCCCTGGGTTTCTTTGGTTTCGATGGTTCTGCGATGGGAAGCGCGACGTCCCCATGCCAAAGATCACTTGACTCCCTGAGGTCCCGGGGTTGGGTTTCTTGTGGAAGGTCTCTTCTGGTCTGTACCGCGAGGGTGCCGCGCATTTCGCAGCTGAGTTAGTGGTAAAAGCGCAGTTTCATGGCCTTGCTGTTGCCGATTCCAACGTTGGTCTGCAGTCCGACCCAGACGTGCCATCTCACCACGGAGTCGGGGTGAAGAGTCTTAGCGTGTGTCATGGTCGGGGTTGTTTTCTTTCGCTCTGCCGCATGCCCACCATGCTCCGATGTTTTCGGGTTGCCCCCTCCTCCGCCCTCCCCCCCCCGCAATGGCTCCTTCTGATGCGGGCAGTATTTCTGTCCATGTCCACTGCAGATTGGAGTTTCGGGCTCCCTTTCCCCACAGACCCGAAGCGCCCTGAGTATGCGTAAGTGTGCCCCATAGAGGCCAGATGTCGATCCAGATCCCCTGCGCCTCGGCTCTGTGGCGCCTCTTTCAAGGCAGTCCAAGAAGCACCAGATATGGATCTGCATCCCGACCGCATCCGAGAATCGCACCTCGTCTGGCATCTCTCTGGGCGCCTTCTTGCACGCGCAGCCGGCGGGCCCTCGGCTCGGGCGTGCTCCACGCCGGGCGGCGGTGGAAGAGCTAGCGGGTATTTGGGATTGGGGGGGGGGCTCCTCCTCCTCGTCCTTGTCCGCCTCGTCCTCCTCCTCCTCCGCCTCCTCCTCCTCCTCCTCCTCCTCTTCAGGCCAGCTCCATAGAGGTTCCAGGAGAACAGGCCCGGGGGGCGTGCAGATCTCGGGCGTGCGGAGCGGGTCGATCCAGGGCACCCTCGGGACCGACACGCGGGAGCGCTGCACCGAGGGGGGCGGCGCTGTCTGGGGGATATTGGGGGGGCGCTTCCCCGAGGGGCCGACCGCTGGCCCCCCCCCCCGCCCACCCCCACGCACACCCCGCACCGCGGGGGGCGCGAGCGCGCCTCCCGCAGCAGGCATGGACGGCGGCCTGCTGTCGCTCCTGGAGTCCAAGGCGAGGGGGGACGGAGCTGCCGTCGGCGGTGGGGAGGGAGGGCGAGGCGGAGGTGGGTGGGCGTGGACGAGGACGGGAGGGAGGAGGAGCGAGAGCGGAGAGGGATGATTGCTGATGATGATGATGATGATGATGATGATGATGATGATGATGATGATGATGATGATGAGTCTGTTGATGCTGTTGTTGATGAGGATGATGCTGATGATGCGGCTGATGATGCTGTTGCTGATGATGATGCTGCTGCCAATGATGCTGGTGATGCTGCTACTGATGATGATGATTATGATGACGATAGTGATGATAATGATGATGATGCTGATGACGATGATGAGGCTGTTCATGATGATGATACTGGTGATGATGATGATGCTGCCCGTGATGACAATGATGATCGTGATGATGGTGATGTTGATGATGCTGATGATGATGATCAGGGTGATGATGAGAATGATCATGCTAGTGAGGATGAGGATTATGATGAGGATGAAGATGACGATGATCGTGATGATGATCCGTATGATGGTGATGATGATGATGATGATGATGATGATGATGATGTTCATCATGCTGATGCTGATGGTGGTGTTGGTGATGGTGATGGTGATGGTGTTGGTGATGATGATGATGCTGATGCCGATGATGACGACCACGACGATGGTGATGGTGATGGTGATGGTGATGGTGATGGTGATGATGATGATGATGATGATGATGATGATGATGATGATGATGATGATGATGATGATGATGATGATGATGATGATGATAAGGGTGATGAGGATGATGAGGATGATGAGGATGAGGATGATATGCTGATGATGCTGATGCTGATGATGATGCTGATGAGCAGGATGAGGATGAGGATGATGATGAGGATGAGGATGCTGCTGATGATACTGATGATGATGCTGATGAAGACGAGGAGGAGGAGGATGAGCAGGAGGATGAGGAGGGTGTGGAGGATGATGAGAAGATGACGATCTGACATCTCGGATGCATTCCGATCTCGTGTCGAATTCGCTTGCCCTGCGAGCCAGATACACGCTAGAATCTTGGGAAAGATCTCCAGAATAATTATAGTTCGCGCGGGTGACGCGACCCCTGGGGTTCCTGGACGAAGCGTTTCCCTGGATACCCTGATTTTCTTGGTCGTGGCCTTCGGGGCTCCCGAGGGCTCTCGAAGTCAGCAGGGCGCGCTGCAGGAACGGCTGCCAAGACGGTTCAGTTGCGCTCCAAGACGGCCAGCTTCAGGAATGCTTCACAGGGTTCCAAGACCGTTCCACAGCAGCCCTGTATATGTGTGTATTTTCTTTAAGCAACCCAAGTGGCCGACAACAACGCTCCAACAGGACCCCTGAGAGGGCCCCAAGAGGGAAGACATCTCAGTCAGCCCAACCATCCCATCCAAAACCGACGCCCAGGCGAGTTGAGACGATCATGGAAGCCTAGGAGCATCATGTGGGACAGCCGGTATCGTTCGAGGGAGGAGGATGAGGAGGAGATGGATGATGGAGGAGGGAGCAGGGGTACACCCCCACCCGAAGTGGGAGGATAGGGGGTTGGAAAGGAAAGCTCTCTAGACCACCTGCGCCCAAAGGGCTGGTGGGATGTTCCTGCGTTTCTTCAGCGATTCTCGAACTCTTGCCCTTTCTGGCGTCCGTCGGCTCAAGACGTGCGAACGGGTCTTCCGGAGGGAGGGCTCCAGAGGCCCCCAGGAGGGCCCCCCATGAGCGGGAGTCCGAACCGACGTGCCGAGCCTTCCCCGAGGCACATCCTGAGACCGCTCCCAAGAGGTAAGTCGGGCCCGTCCCTCCACAGGAGGAATATTCCAGAACAGTCAAAAAATGGTCTGGGGACAATTTCTCTACCATTTTTGACTGGTTTGGGGTACTCTTTGAGAATTTGTCATTTGTCCTCCAAAATTCGCCTGTAGGGGACACGCCCGCACTAACCCAAGAGGCAACCGGAGACTCAGAAGACTGCCCCACAAGGCCTCAGGAGGTTTCAACAATTTCACAAAGAGTACGCTGAGACGCTTCCCGAAACACACCAAGAAGCCTCTTGAAGAGGCGTCTTATCCACGACCCCGTTTGGCCCCGAGAGTGCCCCAAGAGATAACCGAGATGCCTCTTCCTCGTCGCCTCCTCTTCTCCTCCTCTTCATCATCCTCCACCTCCTTGCTCGCCTGGCCACGAGCACGCCAACAGATAGCAACAGTGATGCAACATGCAACACTTCTCATACTGACATATACACGTCATCATACAGCACAGCATACCCACACGGAACGTATAATTGCATTGCACAATATGACATAGCCCACCATAACATAGCAGTCGACCAAATATCATAACAGGTCAGTCTATCACAGAGCTTGTCGTGGCACAACGGAGCCACATATAGTATAGCATAGTACAGATAGGTCGCCACAACACATGTGTTATGTGTTCTACTTTTGGTACACCACGGGGATGAATACACGGTGACACGGAATAGTACACCATACTTGAATATGACCAGCACCGCTCAACATTACGCATCACACAATTATTGCGAATAAATAGCATGCCAATATATACATATATATATATATATGTATATCTCTTAGCGCCCACTCCCGTACCATTCTATAACAACGCATATGGTAACATAGCACAGTATCACATAGCACGCCGCACCGTAACATTCAATTCCTTATTGCGACATAGCGAGGCATACCAGAGTATAGCACACCATAACACATGATAGCATACTATTAGTGTTTGGAAATAACCACCTGCGCGCTAAGGGCCTGGTTGAGTTTTGTGCGAGACATGTGTTGATGGAGTTCCAATCGGAACACTTGCTTGCATTCCGCCGTGTGTATCATACTTGCGCCGTCCTTCCCCTCCGCTGCGCTTTTGCTTGACAAAACATCTCCCAGGCAGCGCATGTGTTTTCGCGTGGTCTGTGTTCTTCCACTGTCGAAGTACAAGTTTGTTGCACGTTTGCGGTGGCATTGTGGGAAGGGGAGGGCCTGACATTCCTGACAGACACGCTCAGCAGGCTGGGCGTCGCCAGAGTCTCGGATTTCAGGTACCTGAGCGAGCAGGACCGCTTAGGCATGCAGGTGTGGCGTTACTGGGTCATGTTGGTGTTGTTTGGGCACATTGGTTGATCTTGGGCGGTCCTGTCCAATGCTGCACAGCCATTAGCCGGGCTTGGAGGCCACTTGGCTCGTTTGTGAGGCTCGTTTGGTCGTCTGCATGGGGGCTGTCATAAGGCCGTGATTGGGGGGGCAGACGGATTCGGAGACCAGATGCGCCCGCTTGCAACGTTGGGCATGGATGGAAGGTCTTCAGGGGGGTCATGACCAGCTCCTGGTCAGAACGCGCTTCCCTTGCCTCGTGCCATCCTCGCCTGCCCTCCTGACGTCGACCACGAGGCCTGCAATCATCTCTGGTTGGTTCCCGTGCCACTGCGGGCGCTCTGCGGGCCCTTTCGGCGGCCCGTTCGGGGCCCTTGGAGCTCACTCACCGTGTGCGTCCCGGAAGTCTCCGGGGCTGGCGAGGCGGCCTCGGCTTGGGCAGCGTTGGGGATCCTCACGGGCACGTCATGCTTCACGACGGGCACACGAGGTCCCTTCGGGGGTCTGTTGGCCCCCTTGGGCTCTCTTTGGCCCTCGTGGGGGCCATCTTGGGGCCAACATGAGGCCACGTGCAGGCAACGGGTGCGCACATGATTGATGCTGGCCTCGTTGGGGTCGGCGACGGAGGGTCCTCGTTACTCGTGGGACAGTCATCGCCCCTTCTGATATTAGTTTATTTGGACATGGCCTCGCCGCCCCCTATTTTGCACGGCTCCTCGTCGGGGTCGATCCACGATCGCATCAACAACTTTGCATTCCCCCTCCCAAACACAAGTATTACATTCACCTCCCCGTGTGTATCATTACTCCGTTCTCCGTCCTATACGTTCGGATGCAACTCCTGGGAGGTCATGTTCTGATTTTCCCCAGTCCGAAACCCGGCTTAGTTTGGTTTAATCCCGCGCACCCGGGCCTAATCCCGCTCAACCTGGCTTAATCCCGCTGAATCCAGCTTAATGCCGCTAATCCGCTGAATCCGCCCCCCAATGGGGCTTAATCCTCTTTTAATCCTTCCGACGAAGACCTACCAGTATTTGCCTCCTGACGTACTCCAAGGTTTCCTCCTTCCTTCTTCCGTTCCTTCTCTCCTCTCCCCAGTCTCTCTCTTTTTCTAGGCGCCCCTTTGTCAACAACCCTCTGCGTCGGCGTTTTTCTAGGCGCCCCGAGTCTCGGCCATGCTATCAGAACAAGGCCCTCACTTCAACTGTCCGCGGTATCAGTTGATTGTAGACGAGGTGGGTACGCAAGGGTTGCAGTATCGAAGACGCCTACGGCGAATCACCGCCGCACCCTGCCTTTTTGGAAGCGCCTGCGTGGCCGAATGTTGGGTTTGAGCTTGGCCAAGCTATCGGGCCACGCGTTCCCTGAGTTGGTTTCGAAAGCCTTCGGGGAACACCGAGTCGGGCGAGCTATCGGACCAAGTGGTTTCCGAGCTTTCAAGCCTCATGGAGGACGTCTTGGAGGGGTCTTTGGCTGTATTTGAGGCCTCTTGCGGGTCTTTTGGGCAGTCGAAGGCCATCTTCAGGCCATCTGGGGCCGTCTTGGGTGCATCTTGGGGCCTCCTTGGTCGTCTTGGAGGCCTTCTTGGTCGTCTTGAAAGCATCTTGGAGGCCATCCTGACCGTCTTGGAGGCCATCTTGGGCGTCTTGGGGGCCTCTTGGGCCGTCTTGGGGCCTTCTTGGGGCCGTCTTTGGGGCCTCTTGGGCTGTCATGGGGCCACCTTGGAGGCACCTTGAGCGCTCTTGGGTCGATGTTTGGGGCCGCTTGGGCCGTCTTGGGCTGTCGGAGAGCTGAAAAGGAGCAACAGCCACAATCCTATAACAAACCTACGGGAATCAATGATTTGGACCCTGTCGGGCCTTCCTGGAGGACGTCTTGGAGGGCTCTTGGGCCGTCTTGGAGGCCTCTTGCGGGCCTATAGGGCCGTCTCAGACCATTTTGAGGCCAGCTTGGGCCGTCTTGGGTGCATCCTCGGGTCATCTTACCAGTCTTGACGGTCATCTTGGGCGTCTTGGAGGCATCTTGGGCGCCATCTTGGCCCTCTTGGAGGCTATCTTGGGTGTTTGGGGGGCCTCTTGGGCCGTCTTGGGGCCTTCTTGGGGCCGTCTCTGGGGCCTCTTGGGCTGTCATGGGGCCACCTTGGAGGCACCTTGGGCGCTCTTGGGTCGATGTTTGGGGCCGCTTGGGCCGTCTTGGGCTGACGGAGAGCTGAAAAGGAGCAACAGCCACAATCCTATAACAAACCTACGGGAATCAATGATTTGGACCCTGTCGGGCTTTCCTGGAGGACGTGTTGGAGGGCTCTTGGGCAGTTGCGGGCCTTCTGGGCAGTCGTAGGCAATTTTGCTGCCATCTTTGCTGTCTTTGGTGCATCTTCGGGTTCATCTTGGCCATCTTGGAGGCCTTCGTGGCCGTCTTGGAGGCATCTTGGAGGCCATCTTGGCCACCTTGGAGGCCATCTGGGGCTTCTTGGGGGCCTCTTGGGCCGTCCTGGGGCCTTCTTTGGAGCCGTCTGGGGGCCCCCTTGGCCCCCACTGGGGGCGATCTTGATGGCCTCCTGGGCAGTCTTGGGCCGTCGGAAGGCCGAAGTGGAGCAGAAGCCAACATCCTTCGACAGCCTTCAGTGATTTGACCTCTTCGGGCCTTCCCGGAGGACCCTGGAGGACCTCTTCGAGGACTCGTGCGCCGATTTGGATGCCTCTCGGAGGCCTCTGGGGCCGTCTTGGGCCGTCTGAGGTGTTCCTTACGCGAAGTTGGAGGCATCCTTGACTCGTGGGCCGTCTTCGAGGCCATCTTGGACCATCTTCGGTGAACTTGGAGGCCATCTTGGCCATCTTGGAGGCCATCTTGGAGCTGTCTGAAGCCGAACACCCTTTTCAACCACCTTTTGTGCACCCTCCTGGGTGGCCGGTGGGACGGGCCGAAGCCCCAGGGGGAGTTTGGCAAGCCGACAGGGGGCAGCGGACTTAATGGTCTTCGGCCCATCCCGCCACCGTGTCCAGGTTGTGGGATCTCGGGATGTTCGTTGGGATCTCGTGGGAGGCCTCACGCGGCCTCATGGAGTCAGTTTAAAGGCCTCTTGGGGGCCGTTATGGGGCCTCGTGGGGCCTCTTTTTGGGCCTCGCGGGGACTTCTTGGGACCTCTTAGGAGCCTCTTGGGGGCCTCTTGGGGCCTCCTGGGCGCCTCTTGAGGCCTCCTGGGGGCCTCTTGGGGCTGAAGGCTTGGATTTTCGGTTCGTGCTCCCTCTCTTGGGCCCCCTTGTGGGTCCGTCTTGGGTGCCTCTTGGGCCGTCTCGGGGCGCTCTTAAGCCGTCTTCGGGCCCTCTTGGAGATATCTTGGGCCGTTTTGTGGTGGTTTGTGGGGCCTCTTGGGCCGTCTGGGAGCGTCAGAAAGCCGAAAACGCGAGAACGCCCAACTCCTTCAAAAACCAATGGACAATTAATGATTGTCGCCTCTTGGAGCCCTTTTGGGAGGCCTCTTCGAGTGCTCCTGGGGTTGGGGCGATCCTTCGGGGATGTGGGGCCCTTCTGGACAGTCTTGGGGCGCCTCTTAGGGCCCTCGTGGCCCGTCTTGGGGCCCTCTTCGGCCCGAGAAAGTTTAGTGGGGAGACGAGTCAGAGTTGAGGGAATCCGCGCCAAGCCCAGTCAAATTTCGGAAATTTGGGTTCGGGCCCCTCTCGACTCCTTCGGACTGAGGACTGAGGCTCCAGGGATTAGGCAAATGACCTGAGGACACGACCACTCCGTGCCCAGCGGCACGGTGGCGGATGTACGCAAGGATGTACGTAATCATGGTCACGCACATGTAGACGTTTAGGCACATGCGCGCTTGACTCGAGAAGAACGTCCTTGCTTTGGCATCACGGTGGACCCGAGAGGGGATCGGACTGATCCCAGCGAGTATGACCTTACAGCCGAGGCGACACCGCAGACCCGTAAGTTCGGATGCAACTCCTGGGAGCTGGTCCGACGCCTGGCTTAATCCGGCTTATTCCCGCCTAGCCCCGCTTGATCGCATTCAATCCGGCTTGACCCCGCTGAATCCGCGGCCTAATCTGGTGTATCAGCCCCCTCAATGGGGCTCAACCCTCCTTGCTAATTCCGACGAAGACCTCTCAGCAGTTGCCCCCAATGTTTCGAGGGCCCTTTTAGACCCGCCACCTGGAGCGAGCCGTTTGGTCTTCCCTCGCGGCGAGCACCCAGGGCCCCTGGACCCCCCGGCCTTCTGGGAACGCCCAGGCCGCGCTGGGTCTCTGGCCTCCTCAGATCAAGCAGTGGCGAAGCGTGCTGGCCCGCCCACAGGCCCACCAGAGAATGTTCTAAGAACCTCTTTGTGGTCTGCACGAACTGTTCCTCGAACAGTTTTGGCTGGGACTCGTGTTGTAGCACATCGGGCTTGTGTTCTAAGAACACTGTGTTCGCTCTTAGAACTTTTTGGGGTTCTAAGACCATTGCACGGTAGGCTTGTAGGAATGCCGGGACGGTCGGTCCCTGCTCGATCAGACCTTTCTGGGGACGTTCCCGCCCATCGGGGATCCCGGGCACCGCGGAGCCCGCAGAGCCACCTCCGACCTCCCAGGCTCCTGAGAGCACCTCTCTGGCCCCAGGGCCCCCTTGTGATATTTTTTTTGCTCGTTGTTTTGCCGATTGGCGCGGGCCCCCGCAACTCGTCCTCGTCCTCCTCCTGCTCGTCCTCGTCCTCCTCCTCGTCCTCGTCCTCCTCCTCCTCCTCCTCCTCCTCCTCCTCCCCTTCCTCCTCCTACTCCTCCCCCTTCCTCTCCTCCTCATCCTCCTCCTTCTCCTCCTCCTCCTCCTCCCCTTCCTCCTCCCCCTCCTCCTTCCCCTCCTCCTCCTCCTCCTCGTCCTACTCCTCCTTCTCCTCCTCCAACCCTTCCTCCTCCCCCTCCTCCTCCTCCTCCTCCTCCTCCTCCTCCTCCTCCTCCTCCCTCCTTTTCCTCCTCTGTTTCTTCCTCCTCCTCCCCCTCCTCCTCTTCCTCCTCCTCCTCTTAAGCTGCCGGTTCAGACGTGCACAGCGCGCGGGCAGCCCGCTCCAAGGTAGGAAACCTCCCCTTTCAGGAGCGAGGATACTGTACCTCACTTCCCCTCTTGCAGGAGGCATACTGCATGTATGAAAAGAGTTGGGAGGTTTCTGGCAGCTGTACTGACGGAGAGAATTATGAGAGTGTGCACATGCAGCCCGTTGTCAGCATCGCACGAGAGGCACGAAGATATATCCAGTGAGTTGGGATCGTGGGACGTGGTGCTGGTATCTGGTACATGCCAAGTTGCACAGCCCGTCCATGGAGCGCAGCAGCATGCACACGCGCGACACTGGGGAGTACACTTTGGGAAGAGGAAGGAAAGTTAGTGTCGGACGCATGCGGGGTCACGATTCTGGTACAGAATCGGATACCTAGTCGAGCATTGCACACTGTATATGTACCTCCAGTGCAAATACGAGGGCGGGCGGGCGGCGTTCGTATTCAGACGAATGAAGTTGACTTCGTGGCCTTCTGTATCTACCTCGCCCCGATGAGTGATGCGAAGCACACGCTGGTCGCAGAAAGGGTATTCAGGTGGATAGACCAGCAGCTGGACGCACTTGGGGTGAGATGTGCTATTATAATAGGAGGGGACGTGAATAGTGGACTAGGAATACATAGAGATGACGATGGTACCATGCAGAGGGCAAGAAACGCGACCCTAGGAGGAAAGAACCTTTGTTGCGAGAGCGAGAATGGTAGGGCATACAGAGAGTTCTGCTACAAGAACGGACTGGCAGTGGAAACTACTTTCTACGAGCATGGGCCCACCTTCTATGGCCCCAAGGGGCACGAGTCACACATTGATCACGTGGCTGTCCCCATCGGGGCCATCCCGCTTGTCTTTCAGTGCAGCTGCCTGTATAGAGCAGCCAAAAGACTCCAGATGATCCCAGATAGAAGGTTCAGGGACCACATCCCGATAGGTATACACGTGGAGATGTCAGCCACCAACCACGGGTACCCGACAGGTGACAATGACAAGATAGATCGGGGGCGCTTGATGAGGTGCCTGCTGAACGGCTACAGAAGAGAAGAGCTGTTCATTAAGATAGACGAGCAGATAAAAATGGTACCCATAGATATCTGGGAGCAGTTGTATCCTAAGAATTCCCCTGATCTCCGATGGAAAAAAGTACGTGGAGTGTGTGAGCGCGGCGTTGCATGGCGCGTTCAAGCAGCGAGCGCGCAGCAATGAGAGCACGCGCAGAATGATGCGCACGAGAAGGATGCAGTTATTGGAGGAGAGGAGGCAGCACAGAGAAGGA